TCCACACCCTTGTCACGCAGCAGCTCACGGCGAAGGGTGCTGGAGGTGCACGTGCTGCGCGTGCGAAGGTAGAGGAGGCGTTGGACAAGGTATTTCTGAACCTTGGGTGTGCTTTTCACGGCCTTCCGACCACAGTTGCTGTACTTGTACTGCCTCTGGCCGAGAGTCCGGTTCACGTCCGAGTGAGCCCGCTGCAGTAGCCTCACGCTGGGCGCCTTGCCACGCAAGTTCACCACCCGTCTCTGTATCTCTGCCCACGTGAGTCCATGGACATCCCGCAGCAAGAGGGCTTTGCGTTCGTTCGCAAAGTCCAGGGACTGGGGATGCCGCACTTCGCTGACGACAGGCATGGCTCGATCGAGGCTGCTGGCTGCAGACGGAGAGCAGGGCGTGCAAGAGAGGGCCCCACACGCACACACATGAGCTGAGATGGATGGCTAGAACCCCTTGCGGGAGGAATGGTTGCCTGCGATGATGGGTGGCCAAACCCTGCAAGGAGCGTGTCGGCAGAATGACCGCCTGAGATGATGGGTGATCCAAAAACCCTGCAAGGAGGAAGGTCAGAACCCTTGAAGGAGGAATGGTACCCTGAGATGATGGGTGCCCAGAACCCTAGACGGAGGAATGGCTGCAGTGCACACCCTAGTACCGTAGCTTCGGGGGAAGGCTTCCAACTTCGGGACAAGACAGAGCTGGAGGCCGTCTACTTTTCCTGCACGCAGGATCCTTGCGTCTGCATTAGCTACTTCCATCCTCGTTTGGATGCACTGACAAGGCTTCGGGGAACTTGATGACAACCCGGTTACCCTGATGGCTCAGCCAGTCATGTGTCTCCAAGAAGTCCAGGTTGCTTGTGCTGTAGTTCACAGTCACCGCAAGCGGAATGGCGAAGAGGTACTTCGTGAATGCGCATGTCCCGCCTGGGGTCGTGGCAAACTCCACGCGACTGTCATACTTGCCCTGAAGCTTCTCTTGGTGCGCGGCCAAGAAGGCCAAGTCTCGAACATCATCTAGGATGATGCCGTCATGCTTGCCACGCTCGAAGCTTCGCATCCCTTCGGGGAAGACCTCTAGACATCCGACTTTGAGTTCCAGAGGGTTCTGAAAAAGGGACTTGACCCACTCTGTCTTGCCGGTGTGTGACCGTCCCAAAACTACGAGCAGGGGATAGCGCAGGCGGTCCTCCCGGAACATGGCCAGCCAGTCCTGCGCCGCGCGAACGGGTGGGAAAGGCTGGTAGAGCGCGGGGTTTGCCCGGACACGTCGCATGTTGGCCTGCATGGCCTCCTCCTCTGCTGCAGCCGCCTCGTGGTCTCTGACCGCCTCGAGGTTGCGCTTCCGAGCCAGCACACCGTCCCTTGTCAGGTAGAGGTAAGCCTCGTACTGCTGGTTCGTGAGCTTGCGCTGCTTCCAGAGTGCTTCAGGCCACTTCCCCAAAACTTGGTACGTCTGTGCTGCGCTTGTCCAGCAAGGTTCGTAGTTTGCGGCCACATGCACTGTCCCGACCTTGTTCGCCCAGACATAAAACATGCCCCTGTCAAAGGACTGCTGCAGCCTCGGTTCCGGTACCGTTATTGCTGGATACCCTAAGCTAGTTTTTGAGTCTACTGCACCCCGAAGCAGAAAGGGCAAGAAGTAATTACTGGGTTACCGCGGAGCTTGCTCCTGGTCTTGCAGGCCCCCTCGCCGAGGTAGTCGTGGGAACTGACGTTCGGGCGTCTGCCCTCGAAGGCAAAGGGCCCCGTCCTGCAGTTCCTCTGCTGCGTGAACTGGACCATGAGGTGCATGTGGAGCGAGCCGGACTTGTTTGTCTCCATCGTGGCCGTCCAGTACTTGACCTTCCAGGCAGCCACGTGGTCGGCCACGAACGTGCAGAACCGCTCCCACACCTGCGTTGCGCTCTCCGGCAACCAGCTCTGGTACGTNNTTCAGAGTGAACACGCGACAAGCCTGGCGCTCGTGGGTCCACCACTGTGGCTGGCACGGCGGCAGCGGGAGCTGGGCGACCGCGTTGCGGCCCTCCTCGCTGCGCGGCCTCCCAGACATCCCGGGCAGCGTTCAGCCGCTGTGCGTCCGCGGGGCTGCCGCCCTTGTCGGGATGCACACGCCGCGCCACCTGCCGGAAAGCCTTCATGACGTCGGCGTCGGCCGACTCGCGCGAGACGACAGCAGCCACACCGTACGCGCGG